TCTTTCTCAGTTTATCCCTCTTTTTTCACTGTTCTCTCAGTGCTTCTTTTTTTCTTTTTCAATCTTTTTCTATCTCAATACTTTTTTCTTTATTTATTCATCGTAGTACTCCTGTCTTTCCTTCATCCAATGATTCTTTCTTTTACAAACGCTTCTTTCATTTTTTTCTTTCCAATGCTTCTTTTTCTTTTTTTTTCTTCCTTTGTGATTATTTTTCTCTTTAACTTCTTACTTTCTTTTTAATGCTTCTTTTTCGGTGCTTTTACGTGTTTTTTTCTCTCTCTCTCAATTCTTTTTTTCTGTGCCTTTTCTAGAAATATCTTCCTGAATATTTTCTGATGAGCTTTCCTCTTTGGTACCTCGACTCAGCGCAGTACCAGATTTGCAGGAAGGTCGCATAATTTTACAGTTAAAATTGTTAGATATAACTTGCATTTCTCGCTTGTGGAACTCTCTTTCGACTTCGCGCTTTCCAGTCAACAATGATATGCAAAAATTAAAACGTAATCTTCTGTATTCTTAATTCCTGTTCTTTTATTCTCCTTAATAATGTTTTTTTCTTTTTCTGATATTCTTTCACAATCAGTAAATCCTTGCATCTTCGTAGCTTTATTGCCTTGGTTAGGGTGTAAGCGTAAATAATAAAAAATGCATGAATCCGAGAGTTACTATTTAGAATCAAGTTATGAACGAATGATGCGCGTATCAGTGGAAAATAAATTGAATCATCGATTGATATCTGCTGATCTCTAATGAAACATCAATTGATGATGTCAACCGTTTTAAGTATTATATATAAGCATATTAACCTACTTTTTTGATTGATATTCATTTAATATGTTGAATAGTTCGGCTGCTTTAATGTATAAAGATTTAGCTGAGGGAAACAATAATTAAACCTAATGTCATACTTGAAAATTTAACGCTTTTTGGGTAGCGTTGCAGCTCAGACCAGACACCACGTTCGTTCTGAAAGTGCAGCTTCTTCCAATTAAACGCTTGTGGCTTGAAAAAAAATAACTCTTTGGTCAGATTGCTACCCAAGAAATAAAATCCTGAGACATGATTGTAGTAGTCGGCAAATTTTATTCGGTTGTAACCTTATGTTGTAGACGAGTGAGGCCAAGTTAACGGAAATAGAAGCGGTCGAACGGTCTAGTCGGCGTCCGGACGTGCGCCTCCTTTTCGCGTCGTGGCAAGTGGTCCTCTGATTTCGGCTGCTAGTAACCACTGTCTTATAGAGGACAAACGTTCTCTGCCCTCTCATCGTTCATTAAAAAAAAAAATCAGGTCCTCAGGGTCTGGCTACACTCATTGACCTCCATTCAGGATCATTTGACATGGTGCTTCTCAGGTGTACTTCACTTAGCTGATTTCTGTAACATCTTTCATATGATTTTTCCTTTAACAAGATATCGACTGACACTGATATATGTTGCAGTTATCAAGGGAGATAACTATATTGATAAGGATGAATTGTTTTGTTTTCGTTCTTTTCGAAACGCAGGCGCGAGAAAGAAAGAAAATATACATAAAAGAAATATATAAGTAGAAAATTCTTTCAAATGTACTTCCATTCTTCATAAATTGTATCGGAAATTTACAGTTAATTCACTCCTTTGATTTAATAGGGATTTTTTGTCAATAAATTTGATAATTTCTATTTTCATGCAAATATAAGAAACAAGGTACATTTAAAGATTTACAAGTTCTAGTTTTTAAGAAGCTTCCTGAATCTAAAATTTAAAAAAATCTGTTAACTTTACGTCTGATTAACCTACCCCTCCCTTCAATGCCCTTTCGAAAAATTGAACATGTCGTCGTATTTGTCTAGAATCACGATACATTTGTCGCTTATATATTTTTCGCAATTGTCAATGATAGCCTGTCCATGTTCCAGTTTATCATGGCATGAAAAAAATAACGCACTCACCTCCACCCTCTAGGCTTATTTTTTCTATTTAGCGCAGATCTAATTTAATTGGTTAATCAAGACATACCCACAAGTATATTTCTAATTCTGACCTTATGCTTCCTTCCTCTTTAGCTTTAGGAAAAGAGATAAATTTTCTTAAAAATCATTTAATCACCAGTTAACCACCAACACCTGAAGAAGTACAATCAAAGTATTGAAACACGAGAGCTTTTGTGTAGCGATTTAAATATGTTTTTTATTATAGCCTCTTATAATAATAATAATAATAATCTATTACTCTACTCTGTATTAAGAACTTTTTAAAAAGTAAATGCTACGAGCGGACGGAATTTTACTCCATCTGTTCTTTCTCTTCTCATATATATATATATATATATATAGGACAGACTGGGTTCTATAGCCTTGGATGGCAACTGGTCTAGGAGAAGGACAACTCTGAATTCAAAACCTGTGAAGGGTCGTTTGGGGACTTTGTGGCACTTAGTGCACCAGGTCTCTGTATTCGTCCCTTCAAAAAGTGTGGATGGTCCTGCACGAGGCCTTCACCACTATAATCAAATCTCATGCCGGTGTCAGGTTGTCGGTTTCTGAAACTGATCTGTTTGACCCTCATACGTCGAATCTCGACGGAGAGTCGATTATTGTATATATATATATATATATATATATATATATATGACTACTGGGTTATTAGGGCAGGTTGATTTTTTCCACTTTTTAAGAAAATCTATATTGCACTCAGTTTGAAAGCTGAGATTTGATGTGCTAAGTAGTGACACCAAAAATCAGAGTTTTAAGTTTTACTAATTTCTGAGGATTTAGTTTTAAACATCGTCTACAAAATGTACACAAATAACTAATTTCTGCAGTTTTTTGCTTACAAACCTACTTAAAAGTTTTTCTATTTGAAGAATAAATCCTTATAAAATTCATATTTTTTTTTTTATTAGATACATTGAATGAAAAATATATTAAAAAACAAAATTCTAATTATGAATCCCTACAAACAGAATATGCATTTTTTTTACGGTTTTCGATAACTTAAAACTGCAAAAAAATTCTAAAAGGTTACAAAATGCTACTCATTGAATAAAATTTGTTAGATCATAATTAATTAAAAAAAAAAAAAGATAAAATGCATATAACACCATAATACCGTTGGGCACAGATTATGAGACATAATGTTTTAAATTTGCATTGTTTATAGAAAATGGCACTAAAACTGCTGCACTTTGTAGTATATTACATCATAATATAGGTAAATTGTTCCATACAACTTCCCTTTGAAGCAAATGATGGTCTTATTTCATAGTACGATGATTTAGTAACAGTGTGCTTGTGCCATGCTTTTTATCCATATAAAATTTGTAAATCTTCAGAAAATTATAAATTTTATAATGCCGTACTGTTAAGGCTTTTACTGGTCACCGTAATGAAACCTAAACTTAATCTTCAAAATGGTTTCTTCAAAAAACCGTAAGGATTTGGAAGAAAAAAATTTTTTGTCATTATTTATCATATCAATCCCCAATTTTAAAATTCAGTGCAATTTGACGGTTACAAAATCGATCTGCCCTACTGGGTTATTCCCCAGCGTCTACAACTCCTGCAAAAGTCAACCTCGTATCGCGCTTTCATGACTATATAAAATTGTCGAACAAGAGTAAAATATTTGTTGGATTGCCTCACTTTTCTGCAAAATGACTTCGGAATATGATCGCTAGATGGCGTTGCAAAAGTCAGTATAAAAGAAAAGGGAGCGAATTTTCATCATTTTTTTAGCCACTGGATGCCTTCGTGATAGAACATGTCTCGTTCCCCACTGGCGAAACTTTTAAATCTTTAGCAAACCACATATCGCATCAAACGCAACACAGAAAGTAGACATTATATGATACTCTAGGTCTACTTGATTGCATACAGACATAACTAATTAGACCAAAGGAACCCGGAACTTCTCAAACGCAAATCTCTCAAAATCAAAATAGGACTTTACACACACGTACATACGAAAAATACATATCAACACATATACCTTCATTCACTCCTCTTGTATTTACACTATCGTGTCTCTTACACTAAACCGGATGTTGACTGCTCGACGACCCAAGGCAGAATGCGAAAACGCGTCTCTGCGTATCATGGCTCGACGCATGTTTTCGGTATTAAATAAAAAATGAACTTTATATATTGGCCAGTAGAAATAACTCCCGCTAAAAGGCACAGATTGCGATTTGGAGCCGATACAACGGATGTAAATTCCTGGATTCAACCCCACAGACACAGATAGAGAGACCTGGCTGAGATGTCGACACGTAGAGGTTGGTCAATAACGCCGCAGACAGACTGAGACTGAACGCGATACTTTTCAACTTTCATCCATCGCCGCCGCCGCCGTCGTCACAAAACAAACAAACCGACAGCCATGACCAACATTCTCTTTCTTTCTTCCTTCCTTTCCCACTCTATCGCCTTTTACAATAGTAACGAGTAGTATGCTGGTTTATATATATATATATATATATATATATATATATATATATTATACATTTATTTACCCAAAATACGATGTATTCCTATTCCTCAAATTTACGCTTGCTGAAGAAATTAACCCCTTCAGCAGGAACAACAAAAGCGACAACTTCTGCCTTCCCGGTTACTCATCTTCGTTTCCGCAACAACACTCTCCGTAATACCTTGCATGTTAGTGTTTTTATTGCCTTACTTGGGGTGAAATGATGAAAAAAATACATGACGTCAGTGTAAAAAAAAGAGGAATAATTTCACTTTAACTGGTGCCAGTGATCGGTTTTTAGCATTGGTAAATGCCAGAATTCTTATTTTCGAGATAAACAGGAAGACAGGCCATTCTAACTTGGAAGTCTGTTAATCTTCAACTTCCATTTACCCTATACACGCTTGTTCTTGAATTGAACAAAGCAATTGTTAAAAATACCGAGATACTCAAGCGGTGCACATAAAAAAAAAAAATAAATTTCAATTTTCAGGTTACATTGTTTAATGAACTTTGAGGAATCTACATCAGCAGTCCCCAAAGTGATCACTATTGATTCCTGGAGGTCGATAAATAAATCGCAATGAGAAAGAAAGAAAAAAAATGAAATAAGAAAGAAAAAGAAGCAATCAGAAAAAAGAAAGAAAGAAGTAAGGAGACAACGAACAAGAAAGAAAGAAAGAAAGAAAGAAGGAATGAGACAATGAGAAAGAAAGAGAGACAGATGCAACGAGAACGAAAGAGAGAAAGATGCAACAAGAGCGAAAGAGAGAAAGATGCAACGACAGTGAAAGAGAGAAAGATGCAACGAGAGAGGGAGAGAGAGAGACAAATAGTAAATATTGATAGAGAGAGGGCGAACGAAGAAGCAATACTTGAGAGAAAGAGAGCGTCAACGAAAGAAACAAATACTGAGAGTGAGAGAGTCTGTAAAAGAAAGAAAGAAAGAAAGAAAGCAATACCGAGAAAGAAGAAGAAAAAGGTCCGAAGAGCTCTTGTTTGAGACGAGGCGATGCGCAAATTTACTTTGGTCTTGGACAGAAATGGCATTGCATACGTCATTTTTTACGGTTACGATGTTCGTAATAAATAATCCAAACGGTTAGTTCTTTTTATAAGAAACCTGTTTGTATTTCTAACTATCCAGACTTGTTTCTACAAACGATTGCAGCACTGATAGGTTGCCAGAGACAACAGATATACAACCGACTGTTGGCCTTTTTCTTTTTTTTTTTTTTTAAAAAAAAAAAAAAAAAAAAAGAAAGAGAGAAAGTGAGAAACAACTAGAAATGCATTATGGAGACACACCCTCAATCCCCTGAGGAATCACTGTTTCATTTCTCAGTTTTATTTATGTATTTATATATTTTTTAAAAAATTTATCACATTACTCGATAGTCACGTGAAGAAGGCATTTTTACTTCATTCCGAGCGTCTTGGGCGTGGTCTCGTCTGTTCTGACAAAAAGTAATCGGGACGAAAACGTTTGGCTAAAGTAAAACAGTGAAAAATAAAACGTTAAAGCCAGAAATATAAAAGAATGAGTGAGCGAAAGAGATTAGAGAGAGAGAAAGAGATTTAAAAAAAAATGGCACAAAGAAAATAAGAGCGAAAAATCTGGGTAGGTTCCCATTTAAGTAACCGTAGCAGTCGGTGGTAGCGAACGATTGCCTTCTATCCCTAACCTCAAGCACTGTCCCAGCATGCACCTCTGGGATGACATCTGATATTTTGGGATTGCATCGAAAGGAGACAAGCGAGCAAAGAGCGGGAAATTTAACATGTGCATGCTTAACTGAATACCCACTTTATATAGATGATTTTTCTTTTACTATTTTCTTTCTACGAGAATATGGCTGAAGGGTGTTTGTTAAAAGTTAAGAATTGAATGCTGAGTGACCAATATTGGAGATTCACTATTTTGCACATCAATGGAGCAGAAAAAAGAAAAGCAGAGAGTAATTAAGCAAACGTATTTCCGGTAAAGAAATTTAAAGCTATTGTGGCTTAAGATGGGTATGATGGGACGTATTAATCATTTTTATCAGGAATCACCAAAAAGATATGAACAGGTCGTATTATGGCATAGAGCTTTGCATTTTTTCTATTAAAATGAGAAAGGTCATTTGGTTTCGTCTGTCCTCTCGGTGCAAACAATATATATAAGTCAGTATTATCAATTCGAACAGTGAAAAGTGGCATTCTGAATATTAAGACAAGAAAATGTCTTTAGAAACAAAGAATTTTGAACTGTTGTGCAATATCTAACCTCATACATGTTAGCGAATGCTCGATAATCACCTCCTTGGTAGCGAATGATGGACAATCTCCGGCATGGTAGCGAATGATGGACAATCTCCGGCATGGTAGCGAATGATGGACAATCTCCTGCATTATAGCAAATGCAGGACAATCTCATGTTTGGTAGCGAATGCTGGAAAATCTTCTGATTGGTAGTGAATGCAGGATAATCTTCTCCTTAGCAGGAAATGATGGATAACTCCTCCCTGGGGGCGAATGATGGACAGTATCATGCATGGTACCGAATGCATGAGAATCTCTTGCTTGGTAGCGAATGATCTTCTGGTCGGTTGCGAATGCAGGACAATCACCTCCTTGGTAGCGAATGATGGACATTCTCCTTCATGGGAACGAATGTTGGTCAATCTCTTGCTTGGTAGCGAATGTTGTAAAATCTCGTCACAAATGAAGAAGAGACTTGTAACGAATGTGATGTGGTTCTACCAACGAGTGTTTAGAATATGATGGACAGAACATGCGAGCAATTTTGAGGTTTAAAAAAATTTAAGAGCTACAAGGAAACAAACAACAATCAAAACAGAGACATCGGAATTTCCAGGGATACAAAATGAGAAAATTTGGCCTGGAATATTCTGAACTATTTTAGGTCATATTGATGACAAGAGAAGTACGAGGAAATAGCGAGTAATTTGTTTAAGTGTTTGAGTGAATGGATAGTAAAATAAGAAAGAGGGGTGGTAAAGGAAAAGAGTCAGAACAAGTAATGACGGGAAATTGTGGAGGACCACAATCGTTCACTTCCTGAAAGAAGGTGGCATGTAAAAGAAGAAAAAAATCGTTTCGAGTTACGTTCTCAAAAAGAGCCTCGTCAGATCATAATGTATGTCATTCATGGCACCAAATCCCATTCAGAAAAGTATAAACTGTACGCTGAATAAACAGCTTTCTCAGATCAATGGTGAAAATGGCTTTGAGCAAGTCAAGTCTGTGGGTCTTGACGGCCATTCTTCTTCGAACATTTTTAACTGATGCTAAAGAATCTCAAAGAACTGTACCAAATAACAGAAACCACATCACTTGCGGACTTTCAACAGCAGCAACATCTAAAATGGACATCGCATAGAACTCGAGAAGAAAATAATGACAATCAAGATCTTGAAATAAAACGTTAGAAAGCAAACCTTCATCAATACTGCGAGAACTATTATTGAACTAGAGAAACCTATTTTTCTGAAAAATTGTTTGAAGAGAAAGATTTTATAAATTCAAACCGAGACTTATATAAGCTGCACAATCAATGAGTCCCGAATGTTTTCTTATAAAGAAACGGTTAATATTACCATTATTGGGAAATGTATTACTGAAGTTTTGCTCAGTGTTTATAGGCTTAGGTAGCTCCCAAATTTCACTAAAAATGAAAAAATGCCAAATATATAATAAAAATAAAATATTATTGTCAAAATCTATGTTATTATTAAAGAAAAGATCAAAGGTTATTTTTTTTATATAAAATAATTTTTTTCATTATTTAGAGAATCCTGGAAATTTTGGTGAATTTTATGTTTCTGCCGTGAAGAAGTCAATGATTCGGATACCCTTTAAGAAAAAAAAAAATCAGATAATTTGCCAGATTTTAACGAAACTTTCAGGACTTTTTCAGAAAATATTTTTTTTATACATTTCTTCTTTTAGAAAATCTTTATAAAAATACATTTTTTAATCTGTTGCTCCAATTATTTGTTTTTTAATTTTAAGAAAATATTTCATTTTGTATTGCATAAAATCTATATTTGTTTAAAGGACAATCCTTTAGAAATTTAAATTATCAAATGTTTCTGGCCAAACAAGACTCTCAGTTGCAGAAAATCTGTCCTGAATCGTAAAATCGCAATAAAACTAAAACATTGTCTAATTAGAAAATATTCTTATTGTTTTTTTTGTATAAAATATATTATGAACAATATTGTATTGAAGAAAAATTTTTTTGCTGAATAATGACTTTTTACAAGAATTGTTTTTTTATTTTTTTAAATTTCTAATTAGAGTAATTTACCAATTTTTTAAATCTTCAAATTAATAAATGGAAAAGCTCACTACAATTCAACGATTCCCAGTATTCAAAAAAAAAAAAAAAAAAAAATTGCGTGTGGATATAAACCTGTTGATTTTTGTAAATACAGACGTCCATACGTGAAATTATCAGAAAATAAGAGAGATTCCTAAAATAAAATTAAAATTTATTGGTAATTTTCTAAAATTTTCTCAACGAGCATCTTGGTAAGTAAAGGTGTAAAGTCAAACTACTTAAATGAAATAAAATATATTGCTTAAAATATTTTCATAAATTTAAAAGATTATTAGCTAGTTAAAAACGAAAACCATATCTTAAAAAAAAAAGGCTTTGACGTCAAATACATCAATTTTTGACAGTTCTGTACCCCTTATTTAAATTTACTGAATATCAGATTTTCAATAAATCAGAAAAGCGATTACTCCAAGTTAAAAAAAAGCTTTCCCCGCTATATTTTAAGCTAAAATTAAATAATAATACTTATTTTAAATCAAATTTAAAATATTTAAATCAGCTAATTTTCCTCAAATAACGTTTCCGAAAAGTATATTTAATCTTTGAATAACGTTTTTTCTTCTTTTTTTTTTCTTTAACAAGAGAATAACTTTGTGTTGACAGATCTGTCAATATGGTACGCATTTATAGATTTTACAGGTAAGGAGAAAAAAAATTCCAATCAATCTAAATTCGGTTTGAAATACACCAAAGTATTTTGCTTATTGGGAATATCAAATTCAATCTATTAACTAAGAATTCAAACCTAAAGAATCAATTCCTGTTCTTTTATTGTTCTTTCTCCTTTTTTTGTTTTTTTGTTTTTTATCATTCTCTCACACTCAGTAACCCTTTGCGCCTTAGTGGCTTTATTGCCTTGCTTTGAGTGAAATAAATTGAAAAAAAAAGATATTTCATTTTTTTAATGTATTGTAAACTTCTAGGTATATAAATTGTTTTTTTTTTTATGTTATGTACATAAATTTAGAGTGAGCATTCCCTGAGGATCGAACTTGCAACAGTAGTAATTGTTTGCGAGGATAGCCTGTTCAGAAATGTTCTATGGCTATGTACCCAAGGTTATTTACTCAGCTTAGCTTCGCCTGGCTCAGGACCCAGTTAAGAATCGAACAGAGTATAGTCTGACGTATTCGTGTTAGAATCTTATCAGGCAAAACATTACTTGACACATTTTTATAATGACCTGTTATTGTTTCTCGCCAGCTGGGCATTGAAATATTTACTGGAATACTTTGTTTAACTTGTGATTTACGAATCTTGCTGACGTCAATGGCAAACACAGACCACAGGCGGAAACGCTTCTTCAAAGAAAAAAAAATTGATTGTCCTTGTAAATGCAATAAAATTAATATTATGTCGTCCTACATTAACCAACCCGATACCATTTCATCTTCATTCGTTGATAAGTGATGCAGGCGCTTTTCATTTTTTTTTTTAATCGAGTACACGATGAAGTCGTTAATAGAAAAATTGCTTTGAACTTCTTAATTTTCGGAACAGTATTAGTAATAGTAATACTATCCCGAATTTTGTCTGTTATTAATTCTTGACTTGTATATCTTCTTGTCTGTCTTTCAGTAATATTAGTAGTAATTTCGAATTTTATTATATGAAGCATTATTGCTAGTAGTAGATGAAGCATATTATTATTATTATTACATTATTATATTATAAAACATTATTATTATTATTATTATTAGAT